CAATTTTTTGGTTTGCTTTTTGCTTAGTTTCCTTCTCCGGCTTATTTTCTTTTAGTATCTGCTCCACTATGGGCCGGCACGCTCATCGGCGACAGCGGCGGCCGATATTGTCATGGAAGAAAAATTTGTAAGGGTGGCAGATCCGGCAGCAATAGTGAGGCGCTTTTTAGTTTTGAATTTTTCCTTCTTCCTCCTCTTGACTCCGACCCTGGCAAAAAAAACAACAACAGGCTTCCATTGTTTTTGTTTTGCTCCCCCACTGACTCAATTTTGCTCCCTCTCTCTCTTTGTTGTTTTGAATTTGATATTAATGAGAATATTGATTGTACAAAACAGAGAATAAGATTGAGATTTGGTTGTTTTCCGATTAGGCTGTTGTATTGTGTGACCTACTGAGCTAATGACTTTCTCATTCTATAGTATTTTTCTTTTTCTTTTTGTTTGTTTTTGTTAATGTTTCTTTCTCATTCTATTGTTTATTTTTATTTTTTTTTAATTTGTAGCATCTTTTATCAATGTTATGACTTTTACCTCACTGCTATATTTATAAATACTTGAAATTATAGAATTTTATTTGTCAACATTATGAAGCTTTGTCATGACAAAAACAATGACAATGTCAAAATATTAATATTACAATATCACATGATAATGTTACAATTTCAATAGCATTATTTTTAATATATCAACACAATTTCAATATGAAAGTGGTTTCTTATAATTGTTTAATTTCATTTCATTGCCACCAGCACAAAATTATCAAAACAAACAATGACATTGTGAACAAAATAGACAATGTCATATAGGGGCATTATAATACATTATTATATAATGACATTGTAATTCATTGAGAACAAAGTGTTTTTGATTTTTAAAATGTAATTTTTCATAGCATTGACTTTTTATTATATGCCATTTTTTATATCAATACCAATGTCATGGTAACTTTTGACATTGTCATATTTATTATCATTGACATTGCTGCAATGACATTATTTATAGCATTGTCATTGTCATTTTTCCCTTTGTTACAATGGTATTGTTACGATGACATTTTTATGACTCTGTGACATTTTCCCCACATTATAACAGTGCTGCAATATTGTAGTATTGACATTGTTTTAACAATGTCATTTTTATAGCATTGACATTATCATAACCGTCATTGACATTGTCATTATTACATTTTCATAATGATTGACATTCTTGTGACATTTTTATGACATTGTCATCGACATTCTTATGACATTGTCATTGACATTTTTATGACATTATCATTGTGATTAATTAAACATTACAACAATTTTATGACGTTGTGATTTTGTTATAAAATTAACATTGTTATTATAGCTATTGACATTGTCATAATTACAATGTCATTTTATAGCATTGACAATGACATTTTCTTGACTTGATGACATTTTTATACATTGACATTGTCAAAATAACAATGACGACACTGGAATAGACATTTTCATCATTACTCATTACAATGCTAAAACAATTTGAAAGCCAAACAATTTCAACTTTCGTCAAAATAATACTCCGCATTACAAATTTACAATACAATTCGCAAAAAGTTATCAATGTCCAAATTAATAAATGAATACTCTGTAAAAAATAATCTGTATTACTTGCACTAAATGAATTTGCAAATAAAAAATAAAAAATTGAGATGTAAGCCAACAACAAAAAGCAACTAGTACAAGACTGCTACAGTGCGGAGAATCTATTCTTTTGATGTAGCAATCCTTACTTAGTTCTACACTTCTACGGTGCTACTAGCTCTAAGACGAGCTTACAAAAGTAGGCATACGGCACCGAAGAAATTCGCAAACAGAGAGGAAGACATGGAGAAAGTTGAAGGAGGAGAAGGGCTGGGGGACGAAGAGACTACTCGTCGGCCTGATGTCGGCGACTGCTCCGGTGATGACTTGCACTGCCTATAACCCGGCGGAAACCAGCGGCGGATCGCAGAGAATTTACCTGCGGACTGCGACCAACCAGAATAATTTCTCCTTTGAATTTGTTTGTTAAATCCTCTCGTTATCAGACTTGCAAAAGCGGATGGGTGGTGTCTTATGTTGAGAGCAGAATTTGTTGGGAACGGAGGGGTAGTTTTGTCTCAAAGTTCAAAATTGGTCCTATTTAGGAGTTTAAAACATTCGACTCCTATTTAAATTCCAGGCTCTACTTTTACTCCTATTTAGGTCTATATCCCATTGTTTTTTCATCTAATTTTTTCTTTATTTTATTAATAACATATATCTTTTATGTGTAGTACGAAGTGTGATTTTTCAAACTAGATCAATTTCAACCAAATCAAATGATTCATCTCATTTCGGTAGTACCAAAAATCCCCTAAGTCATATATCCAATCAATTTACACCACACTTACAAGCAAAAAAACTTACCGTGCGACGCACGGGTACAGACACTAGTATTTGAAAAACTGCAGAAGTTATAATTAGGTAGTTACTTTTATACATCTTTTACTTAAATGGGGTGTGCACCTTTCTTCTTAGCTCTTTTTTTTTTAAAAAAAAAACTTATATTCATACTCAATTTTATCACCATTTTTATCTTTATTTTTCTTGTGCCTGAATAAAAATGATGTTTGAGAGTTGTCATAAAGTCATTGTAAAGACACCAATAAATTTGAGATGAGTGCTACAAGATTTTTATATGTGTCATGCGTAAGATATTATTTGTGTTGTTCTGAATAATGACATATTATGTCTGTAGAGAAAAGATACTGAAAAACAAGTGAGTTACATTTTATAAAATTTCACTGTTGAAAAAATGTATGTAAATGTTGCATACAAAGACAAAAATGTTGCAGAAAAGTCTGAGTAAGTTGCACGGGAACCAAAATCTGTGTGTAAATTAGTTGGCTGTACACGAACAAGAAAATATATAATAATGTCTGTAACCTAACCTTGACGCTTCTGCAAAAACACATTCAAACCAACACGATGCACACACACAAATGGATGTACATAGATTTAGGTTTTACATAAAACAATTGTACACATATTTTTTTTTGTTTGTGCATGTTTACATACACTGTGAATTTTTCAATTTAAAATTTTCAATTTAAATTTTTCACACAAATAATTTTATCAAAATTCATGATGACACACAATATCTACTAAAGGAGTGTTTTGGGTTGCTTAAAAAAGCGCTTTTCAGCTTTTGGCTTAAAAAAAAGTTGAAAAGGATGTTTTCAAATGACAGCTTCTGCTTAAATTAATCACTTAAAAGCTAAAAGCTGGAAGCAGGTAGAAGGGTGCTTTAAACTGCTTCTCACTTTTTCTATTACACAAAAGTACTTATTTTACCAAACATTACCAACTTTTACTTTTTCAGAATCACTTTTTCCTCAAACACTACCAACTTTTACTATTAATCACTTTTCCCAAAATCACTTTAAAAAATCACTTTTTTAAAGTTGAAGCAATTGCAAACACTCCCTAAGACACATACAATAATTTCGGCAATATTTTCGGTTACTTTGACTGTGGTTGTTTTTCCAATGACTCCAACAGTGTTGATGAAAAAGTAGATAAGATGATATATGACACAAGTTGATATGATGAAGATTAAAGATGATAAATGTGGAACATGAATAGGATGGAAATAATGAAAATGGGAGGTGGTTGATGTAATGGTGAATACACGATGTGGTGAAGAGAGGAAGCGATCCAGCTCAGCTAGTCGGCGATTCACTCTCTCGTTCAGGAGGTCTCGAGTTCGAAATTCCATATAGGGAGTTTCAGCCTTGTTTTTTGCTCCGGCCCCCAGCCTTCTCCTCCTTACCCCCCAGGATAAAAAAAATTGTGATGAAGATGATGAACGAGGGAAGGTATGAAGAAGAAAGAAGGGGAAGATAATTTCAAGAAAGAGAGATGGAGAGAGGAAAAGAGCGAGAAAGGGTGAAAGAAATACTACCTCCGTCCCGCTAAGATCTTCATAGTTTGACCTATACATATTAAGAAAATAAACCTACCAGAGGGTAAAATTTACTGTTTTTACACTGTTTGACAATGTTTTGCACTGTTTGACACTGTTTTGATGTAAGATAACTTTCCATTTAGGTAAAGGAGAACTTCATTTTGGGACTGCTAAAAAGGAAAGCAGGAAGATCTTAATGGAAGGTAGGGAGTAATAAACTTTGAACCCTTTTACATAGTTTATACCAAGATGTATTCCTGTCGTTTTTATACTCAACATTATAATATGCACCCGCCTTATTGTGTGTATCTTGTTTTAGTTTAATATAATTATTAATAAAATAATTAAAAAGGAAAAACAGTGATTGAAATTTGAGTAGTAAAATAAATTGAGAATGAGAGGCATTTTGATACAATTGACACATTATTTGAAATGTTGCTAGAATAGAATTCATTCATTGTACAGATACACGACTTGTCATATACTAGCGAAGGTTGTCGTTTCTATGTTGTATTACTTGTATAGATTGGTATTTTTCATTATCCGCCTGATTAGACGATTGTACTCCAATCCCAGAATGATAAGTTGAATTAATATATATTACGAGTAATTTTATTTAAAAAACAAATGAGAATGAGGGGAAGAATAATAGGAACATACTATCTATATAGGATCTGGATTCTCTGCCTTGTTATAGCAGCAAGGTAGGGTGCGTGGCTTTTATAGCCACGCGATTTAACTAAAGCAGCCCCACCACTTCTCCTCCCCTCCCGTCCCTGCCGTTGGATGCCGCAAGGCACCTCTGCCGCAAGGGAGAGCATCCAAATCCATCTATATTCCTGCGATGAACAGATAATGTATGAAATCCCTTTGTGAGTCATAGAAAAAGTCGCCATCATCCCACAATTGGACAAATTTACGTGGTGAAAGTTAAACTACTGCCGTATCGTAAATTCCAACTTGACAACAAACAAACGTGGCCTTGCCAAATCAGTCGAATCCGTTTCAAAAACGAGTTCACATTCACGCGTCCACACGCGTTCCCACTTCCCACCAGATATTTCTCTCTTCTTCTTCGTCCCTTTATTACCCTTCCCCACTCACACCTGTAACGAAAAAGGACTCTTTCTTTTCAACGCCTTTTCTTCTTCGTCTTCAAAGCTGAAACCCTCTTCAACTTTCTCACCTTTTCTTAGATTCGCCGCCGCCCAGGAGAATCTACGCCCCACTTTTCGGTAATCACCGCCGTCATCATCCACAAAGGTTCCCGAAAATGGTGAAACTGAGCAACAGTCTGCTAGGGATTCTCAACGTCCTCACATTCCTGATCTCCATCCCGATCATCGTCGCCGGCGTTTGGCTCTCCAAGCAGTCCAGCACGGAGTGCGAGCGGTTCCTCGAGAAGCCGGTGATAGCCGTCGGAGTCATCCTGTTGCTGTTCTCACTCGCAGGAATCATAGGCGCGTGCTGCAGAGTCTCGTGGCTTCTCTGGTTCTACCTCGCCGGAGTCTTCGTCCTCATCCTGGTCCTCTTCAGCTTCACAATCTTCGCGTTTGTGGTCACCAACAGAGGGGCGGGTGAAGCGATTTCAGGGAAAGGGTATAAGGAGTACAGGTTTGGGGACTACTCTCATTGGTTGCAGAAGAGGGTTAATAAAAACTGGGATCGAATCAGTAATTGCCTTCAGGACAGTAAGGTTTGCCAGAAGTTGGCTGATGATAAGATTGGCGAGGACAATTTCTACAAAGAACGCCTTTCTTCCCTTCAGGTATACTTTTCCCCCATTTTCATTCCTTTTTTTTACTAAAGTATGATTGGGTGATTGCAGTTTATAGATTTAGCTATCATTCTGGAACACATGATTAGGAATTTAAATTAAAACGCGCATGATAAACTGCTTTATATGGACTTGCATTGTGTTTGAGTGTCAAGAAAATTTATCTGGAAGTGTTTGTCCTCGATAATTGGAAGTTTGGAACTGGTGCACTTGTTCCAAGCAACCTGATAAGAATATGTTTTTGAATTGATTTCCAAAAGTTGATTTTAGTTTTAGTGAAAAACTCACAAGTGATTATGGAAGCCCATAATTTTTAGAGGTTATTATGATCATTATATTTACAGACAATTGAGAGTGTTTTGACTAATCCTTATCTTATTTAGCATTAAATAATACGCTGTATGCTTTGTGTGGACGTTAGTTCGTCCGTGGTCAGTTTGTTATAGGTAGTGGAATAACTTTTATGATAATAGAACGGTTGCTTATGATGTAACGTTGGTTGGATGCAGATATGTTAGGAAGCATCTGTTGAATTGAGAATTAATTGCTTTCAAAGTTGTTTTGAAGCTAAACATACTTTTAGAATAGATTGTCTACCAAAGATATAGGATTTGTTTGGTTTATAGAATTTGGAGGGTAGGGTTGTATATTTGTTTTATTATTGTTTCTCAATATGTTAGTGGGAGCCTATAATACAAGTATTCCATTTGCCCAGAAAATCACCTTTGGTAACATATCTATCTAAAAGAAAACATTTCAATAAAAGAGGCTAGTTTTCTTTGAATAGTGTGAATTATTGATAAAAAGGAGCTGACAAAAAATGTTTGTTAGTGAAACAGACTTATAAATTTAAAGCATATCAGAAATTGGTTGTTTGAAATAGTCATACCTTTCCAAAATTTACAAGTCAGCACTGGTGAAAAATCCTTTTCAATATATTGGGTGGAATGTGTTAGTAAATGTCCAGTTAAACAATAACTTATATCTCTAGTATTTAATAATAATGATATTATTGTAACTAAACAATAACTTATATCTCTAGTATTTAATAATAATGATATTTTGTACTTTTCATGAGGTTGAATATGTAACTAAACTAAACTATAACTGCAGTCCGGCTGCTGCAAACCATCAAGTGACTGCAACTTCACATACGTGAGCCCAACAAACTGGATCAAGACTTCTCAGCCCATTCGCCAAAATGCAGACTGTGATCTTTGGAGCAACGAACCAAAAACCTTGTGCTACAGCTGCCAGTCATGCAAAGCCGGGCTGATCGACAACATCAAGACTGACTGGAAGAAGGTGGCGAAGATCAACATTGCCTTCCTCGTCATCCTCATCATTGTCTACTCGGTGGGTTGCTGCGCTTTCAGGAACAACAGGCGGAAGGAGTATTCCTCTTTCAGGCCTTAATTACCACCACCCTTGTGATTGCATTCTTATTATTAGTCCCCTGTTTTGATTTGTTGTTGGGGAGTGTGTAGATGCGGTTCTTTTATTGTACAGTTGAACCATTTTGCAGTTTGATTTCCTTGGATTTTTAGTTGGACTGAGAATAATTGCTGATTATTTGTGCTTTGCTTGTTTACATTGGTGAATAAAGTAGATTCCTGTAAATCAAACAATCCATTCTTCTTTCTTCATTATTTTCATTGTTTGGTTTTGGTATCTTAACATATTGAGTATTGACCCATTCTTCCATCATCGATTATCAACACATTTATGAGTCTATGACCGGGTGATTAATTTGGTTTGGTGTCTTTCCATTTTGTTTAGTATAAAAAACATTCATTAAGCTACCATATTCCAAAATCACCCAATGAATCCATTGAAGTAGTAAAACTTCTAAATAACCAAATTAGATGGCGACTAATTGGTTTCCTGGTAAACTGCTCATGTGGTGCCATTCAATTGTTCATAGAGTTTTCTCACCCAAAACTAAAGCTAGAGACCCGGTAAAAGAAAAAAAAGTCAAACTAATAAGGGAGGAAGAACAGAGTTTCCAAAGCCAGACTTTGAGCCGCTACGGCTGCCGGCTGAAAACAACCCCTTGTGGGAGAAGAAACCCCTATCAGATACCTAACCCGGCAGTTGTACCATGGAGGCGATCACCAAATATTGTTCAAGACAAGAATGAATCAAAGAAGTGAGGTTTGGACTTGGATTAGTCCCTTCACGAGGGCTCTCTTCATCTTTCTCAATTTAATGGTAATTGGTAAAGCGGGGAGCCTAGGATTTGGAAATGTGAAATAATGAAACAAGTTTTTTTTTTTTTGAGAAAAAGAGGCTTAATTAACATTGATCAAATCGTTGGCCAGAGCCGATACAATAAATGAAGGAGGAATAAAAAACCAAGACCGCGTGTCAGGCAAAGAACAAGCCGCTCTTGCCAAGGCATGGGCAGTCTTATTCGCTGACCGCTTAATATGACAAAATGAAATACTCGAAAAAGAATTCGCTAAATCTCTTATGTCGTCGCTTAATAATCCCACCATGGAACAACTGGATCCATTCAAAATCTCGGCTACAGCTCTAGATGCATCGGTCTCTACCTCAACGAATGTCCACCTCTGCTGTTTTAGCCAACTTAGCGCCTCACGGATCCCAACCAGTTCGGCCGCCAATGGTGTTAACTTCCCAGGCCATGGCTGAGCAGCCCCTGCAACAAAACAGCCGCTATCGTCCCGGAGACACCACCCCAGCCCGCATCCTTCTGCCCGAACTGCTGCGTCTACATTTAATTTCAACATTCCGTGGGCTGGTTTGCGCCAAGAGATGCTCCCCTGTTGTGCTTGTTGTTGCCTTGTGCTACGAGGATGTTGAGCATGCTTCCAGCCATCCACCAGAGCTTGGCCACGAAGAATAAGTTGTCTGGCCGATGAAGACAGACCTTGCCAGACTCGATAATTTCGTTCGCACCAAATAGCCCAGCAGCCCCAGACCAGCACCTCCAAAGCTGCCTTCCGTTTCGACTGGAACTCCTTGTTAATTTGCTCCAGAAAAGGAAAACCATTCCCAGCGCTCCACTGCCAAGAGAGAATTTCCCAGACCTCTTTAGCCACAGCACAAAGCCTAAAGATGTGCTCCAATGATTCTGGATGAGCTCCACACATGCCACAATGTCCAGAACAGTCCACTCTTCGTCCCTGCAAGTTTAATCTCGATGGAAGACACCCGCTACAAACCTGCCAAAAAAATATTTTAATTTTAGGTGGAAGTTTTAAATCCCACATAGCAGTCCACTCTAGTCCCTATAATGAAACAAGTTAGACAATACAGTTTTGCTCATTTGGGTTGAAAAGGAACGTGCATGTGGTAGTCTAACACGCTAAAATGATAGGGAAATTTTCACGTGGAGCCTTAAAAGTGAAAATAATATCATTTTTTTCACTTTTCAAAACTTTTTCAAAAATTAACTATTTCTTTTCATTAATAGACCATTTCTATAGAAACTGGCTATTGGAACCTCCGAAGCTACACCCCTCACAGATACATGTGGCCGACGTGGGGTTCCCAGTCTTGTACAAATCATAGGAAGCTCTCAATTTTTGTTTGTAAATACAAAAACGTATACATATATAACAAGGTGAAAGTTAAATTAAAAAATTCAAAACATGCACAATAAAAATGCAAAAATGAAAACTTGTAAAATAAATTAAAATAAAACAAACTTAATTTAAATTTTCTAAATGAAATCAGAAAAGTTTCAAAAAACATAAGAAATTTACCCAAATACAAAACTCAAAATAAAGTATAAAAAAACTAAAACAATTTAAACGCGGATTGCAAAAAGTACGTACAAGATACGTTTTTATAAATTATTTTTTTTAATATTTGATATAATTTATATACAAAAAAAGTCTAAAATATATAAAAAGCTGAAAATAAAAAAAATAAAAATAAAACTATCCAAAAAACATGTAAATAAGATAGAATTTTTTTCAAACTATTAAAAATATGAAAAGTAGTTAGAATTGTTTTGAAAAGGTACGTACTTTTTAAAAGATATGAATACATAATATTGTTTGGCATAAATTAAAATTTCAAGAAAGTACGGAAAAAACAAATAGAAACCTAAATAAACAACAAAAATTAAAATTAACAATAAACAACATTAAGCATCATGATGCAACAAAAAAAATATGATGCAACAAAATGAAACATGGTGCAACAAAAAAAACATGGTGCAACAATAAGAAACATGTACAGTGCAACAAAAAGAAACAAAAAACAAGATAAAAGTTATCATAATTAATACTCCGTATATAATAAAATCTATTTGTTCAACATATTACATTTATCTAGTATATCATTTGACTTTGGTTCCTCCCATTCTTCTACTTCTTGCATTTATGCTTCATGTTAACACACAACTCATCATATTTGTCTCTCTTATCTTCATTTTCCTCGTCAAACTTCTTTGATTTACCATCTTCATGTACATCTTTTTATTATTTCATTTTCATTTTTATATATTTTTCCAGATCAGTTTCCTTATAAAATATATGTGTACATATATATATTACGGCATATATATCAGTTTCCATTTTATTTCTATTTTTAAGAAATTATATACAATATATATGTACATATATATTACGGCGTATATATGTACTATTTCTATTTTATATTCGATCTATCAATTTGAACATATGGAGTAGTCATCACTCGGCACGTAAGATCAAGAAATCTATTCGTCAGAGTTCCTCGTGCAAGATCAAGAAATCTATTCGCCAGAGGCTCCTCACCATGCAATATAAAGAAATCCATTCGCCATGGGTCCCTGAAACCATTCGTTGGAGGCTCCAAAAAAACAGTCGCTGAAGGCTCCTAAAACCATTCACCGTAACTCCTCGTGAAAGATCAAGAAATCCATTCGCCGGAGCTCCTCTTGCAAGATTAAGATATTCATTTGATGGAGGCTCCTCATTCGTCACCAAATTCAAGAAACCATTCATGGCGCTTTGAGTTTTGTTCATTATTATGATGGCCACCGTGGTGAGCATAATAGTCGGCATGTTCATTAATTGGTTTACAGTAGGGGTGGACCGAGCCCGGTTCAGGCCTGGGCCCGGCCAGGCTTGGGTATTTTGGAATGAAGCCCGAGACCGGCCCGGGTGTTGACTGGTACCATTTCGGGCCGGTCTACCTGCCCGGATAGCGGGCCAGGCCGGCTTAAAGTATATTTATTTGAAATATGAACTACAATTGAGAATTGAGAAAAAAAGTTAAACATGAAATACATTTTCTAATAAATAATAATCAATCGGAATCTCCGCCAACGTCGGTTGTTGTTTCCTCCATAAAGTGTTGGGTGGGCGTGAAGTTTCCTTGTGCGAATCACAGGTGCGACAACTTCTCCGTGCATGAAGATCTGAGGTGCGAGAACCAGCCGTGCGCGAAGACTCCTCGGAAAACTTCCCTTGCGTGAAAGCTGTTGTGCATGCATGATCCTCCATGCGCGATGCAAGTACCTCGTGCGTGATCCACCCCGTGCGCGATATCCTTCGTGCGCGATCCAGCTGTGCGCAAAGAGTAAAGTGCGTGAAAACTCTGTGTGCGAATATGCCAGTGTATGAACTTGTTGCGTGAAGTTGTACTTGAGCAAAACAGGAACTAAACAATCAACTGATCAGCCCGATCAAATTCGATATGGATGCTCTATTGATTGGAAATGATACAAGGCCCCCAATTCTTCGAAGAGGATGTTGCCGGCTATGGAAGATAATGGAGAAAAGAGCGCCCTAATGATTGAAAAGGATCATTGGATGGATGATTCTGATGATGAAGAGAATCTAGCGCTGATGGCCATTGTTAAAGAAGAAGAAAAGAATGACACTGATCTGAAGGTGAGAAGGTGATTACTATTGCTACGGAAGTTGAGAAGATGACTACCCGTACTGCTGTTGTGAACGAGAAGATGACTATCCCGACTGCTATGAAAGAGAAGGTGACTGCCCTTTCAGTTGAGAACGTGGATGCATATAACGTGGTAAGTACTTCTAACTCTTCTTATCCATTATGCTCTAAACTTGATCCTTATATCATTATTAAGAAGCTTGAAGGGAGACTAGAGAATAATTACAATGTTCTAGTTAGACAATTAAAGAAACACTCTTTCTCAAACGTCAAAATAACCAATTCAGAGAAAAAAATCACTAAGCTCACTGCTGAAAACAAAAACCTAGGAGCTAGCGTGAAAGAGTTGACAGAGAAGCTCAAAACTACTGAGAAAGAAAGAATTAGACTTTTTGGCGTAAGTAACTCTTTATATAAAAAAATTAAAGAACTTGAGGAGCTGTTAGCCAAAAGGGATCAAACAGACCAGACTATTTTCCTTAACCAGCCTAAGGACACTCAATTCTACAACTCTAAGGAAGGTCTGGGGATCACCAATCCTCAGAACTTGAAAAAGGTCAATTGTATCCAACTCTATGACATCAAGTACATGAAAATAGGGTTGACCAAACTTAATTATGGCCTTCACTGGAGCTGAAGAATCGAATGCCCTTGAGAATGAAAACAAAAAAGCTAAGTCTAGAGCTGAGGTTCCTTTTGACTACACAAACTTAAACAAGAGTTACGAAACTAAAGAGCCCCATTGACCCCTACAGAAGAGATTTTGATTTATCCACCTGAAAAGGAGACTGTGCAAGATGGAGTGGAACCTTCAACTTACTTCAGAACATGTAGTCAAACCAACATACATTTCACCTCTCGTGAAAAACT